CTGGTCTCTTTGGGATTCACTCCACATTCGAAACGCCGTCTTATATCAGAAATTCGAATCGGATCCCGAACATCCTCACAAAACTACACAGCCACTTCGGAATAATGAAGACCTTGAAGAGGATTTGAGAGCACTTCTGTTGGAGCAATGCAAAGGATGACGCGCAAAAAGGGTGCCGATCTTTCGATCTCTGTGCAAGTCGGAAAGGATCGAAGAAACACAGCCAAGGCAAGCTCCAACATTACAATGTAGGATCACCTTTTGAACGTATCACCTTTGACTTTATGGGACCTCTGCCTTGAACAGCTGATGGGAACATATACATCCTTGTTGTCATAGATTACTTCGCAAAGTGGCCTGAAGCCTATCCCATAGACTCCAACCTTCAGCAAACCTTGTCAGTAGTCAACGCGCGAACGACATTTTTACAACTTTGAAAATGTGCGCGTAGCGTATGTTGTAATTAACCATTCATTAATTTTAAATTAATAATTAATTGTAATCAATTTTATTACATTTAAAATCCATATACATATAAAACTGAATAATTAAAAATATACCTTGTAAATTATATGCACATTTAATTAGAAATTTTCTTTTAACTCCTCAAGCATTCACTAATAAAAAGTACTTCAAATCACTACTAATCATAGAAAAAATCAGAAGCTATAAATCATATCTTTATTCTGGATATGATTTCTACAGGGAAATAAAATTTAAATAACCAAGAATGATACATATAAGTATTAAACAAAATACGCATAATTTATGAATGCAAAGATTTATATGTAGCATGCTTAGCAAGCTTAAGTTCTGATTTTGAGAATGTTTTTTTATAACACAGTTCTTCATTTGCCTGCATATTTATTTTTTCAATCAAAACTGCTTCAAGAGTTTTAAGACCTAAATTTGGTCGAAATTCCGTCTGATTTTTTTTTAACAATAGAAAAAATTCTTTCGCAAGCTGCATTTGAATGAGGTATTATTAAGACAGCAAGCATTACAGAAGGCAATACTTTGTATTTAATACACCCATTCATATTTTTTAATTTGGCAATTTCTCCCCATGCTATATCAATACGCAAATCTACAATTTCTTTCAAATCATCTACTTGATACATGGAAAATTCAATTTCTACTTGATTAAGACATTTTTCATCAATAATGGATGGAAAAGTATTCATCAAGTAAAGAACAGATGAAAATGAGACTTCAGTTCTCAAGTTGATGTCAGCAACTTCAGCATGTTTTAGAAATGGATCACTCAGTGGAAATTTATCAATTATATATGAACATGCAGTTACAAAAAAAAGCTCGCACAGAATTGAAAAATGATTTCACTTCACTTTCATTCAACTTGGCATTTTTTAAATATAGTCTTGTTTCCGCACCAATCACTAAATTTTCATTTTCTTTTTGTTTACTATACTTCTGAAATGGAATAGACGTTAGAGTAACATCTTCATTTTCTTTAGAAATTACTGATGGTTTTACGAATCTAACAAATAAATTCATTAAAAGTTCAAAAAGTTCTCTTCTCAATTTATGTATATAAGGAGCTTGTTGTTGCAAATTAATATTTACTGTTATAAACAAAGGCAAAGTATTTTTCAAAAATAACAAGTACAATTTGGTGGTCGGTGACTGTAAAATTTTTTTAATGTTTTGCAATCTCTTTCCTTCATTCTCACTGTTATCTGGTTTATCTCCAAAAAAATTTATCACAGCATCCCACTGTTCCAAAATCCTTGTTATAGATTCTAAAAGAGACAACCATCTCGTACTGCAATATTTCAAAATTTTATGAGATTTTGCATTCTGTCCCAAAATTTGTTGAGCAACTTTGAAGCTATGCTTCCGTTTCGAACTTTTCTCCAAGTAAAAATATATATCTATTATCAACATTTCAATTTCTGAGCCAATTAATTTTTCAGTAGCTTTTTTTGCAGCTATATGCAAGAGGTGGCACGGACAACCTCGGGTGATTATACTTGGTTGATGCATTTTGATAAATGATGCTACACCTTTAAACTTTCCAATCATATTACTAGCATTATCTGAAGAAAATGATAAGCAATTTTTCCATTCTAAACCTTTGTTTTTAAAGTTTTCATTTATACAATTAAAAATACCTTCTCCTGTATTATTCGTGCATTCTAAAATAGAAATCAATGAAGTAATTATCACTCCCTTTTCTTTACTGTAGTATGTTATAACCAATGGGTACAGTTTGTTATCATTGTTATCATTACTTCCATCAGTACTTAGAGAAAATGATGTACTGCACACTGATTTTATAATATCAGCAACAGTATTTTCTGCAAGCGTTTTCACAATAGCAGCAGTTTTGGTATGACCGCAGCTAAATTTTTTTGCTATGGCAGAATCCGGAAAACATTGCTTTGAAAAGCTCTTTGGAATGATCCGAAACAGAAAGCGGTAGATTATGTTCAATTAAAAAACGAACAAAATAGCATTCGGCTTTTATAGGATCTGTTTCATCATCTTTTATTAAGAAATTTGTTATTTCTTTAGATTTTACGGTGCCAAGTTCTATATGCTTTTGAGAAAACACATGCCGTTTACAGTCATCTTTTCCGCCATGAGCAACTGAGAAGTCTTTGTTGCATACACTGCAGTGTGCGTGATTCACAGAAATTTCGGACGCTTTAATGCATGGAAATTCTGAAGAATATGAATCTTTAAACTTCTGCTTTGATAATTTTGGCTTCTTCGTTCGAGGCAGCATTATGATTAAAAATCTTTCACCTGATTCACAGTTCACAAGACACACGCTAAGCTCTCGCCGTAAACTACACAATGCAGCCGAATGCAGCCTAAACACGCGTCAGCGAGGAACCTGGGAGACAGACAATTGGGTGGAACTATTGATAAGTCGTTAACGGTTGGAGTTACTGATCTACGATTGGCTAATTCTTCAAAACTAGGAACGCACTCAACACGTGATATATATGATAACACGAGTATTCAGCCAATCATCGGATGAATTAGTTGGTTCCGTTTTGTGTACTGGTTCTCCTGCTCTTGTTTCTGTAAAATCCGTAGTTTTTTCCATACTTTTCATAGCTCGTAGTTTTTCATGAATTTCCGTAGAAACTACGGAGAATCCGTAGTAGTTGGAGTCTATGCTATCCTATTCCTGATCAAGAGGCTGTCACAGTAGCAGAGGTAATGACACAGTACTGGATTTCCAGAATCGGAGTGCCCATTCAGTTGCATTCTGAACAGGGAAGGAATTTTACATTGGTTGTAATTAAAGAACTCAGCTAGCTACTCGGCATTGACAAAACTCTAACGAAACCGTTACATCCCCAGTCAGACAGCATGGTAGAAAGGTTTAATCGAATCATCCTTAATAGCATCTTATTGTTTGTTTCCAGAAATCAACAGGACTGGAATAAAAAGTTACCACTGTTTTTACTGACTTACCGCAGGGCTGTGCACGAGACTACCGGCTATTCTCCATCTCAGATGCTCTTCGTCTGCCTTGTGATCTCTGGCAGATGTTCGGTCGCCCTCTGGATGCGTTTTCATCACCTGGAGGAATACATCCAAGATGTCCAGGCCCAGTTTGAAGTGACGCACAATTTTGCATGAGAGTGAATCAACTTGGGGACAGAGAAGATGAAGACCCAATACAACACAAGAACTACTGGACATCGATTCAACGAAGGAGACAAAATGCGGTTGTGGAATCCGACTTGACAGAAAGGACTCTGTCCTAAACTCCTTGGGATGGTTTGTACACAGTCCTAAACAGGCTGAATGACGTCGTAGTTCGGATCCGTAAGTCATCAAACTCTAAAGACTAAAATTATTCATTACAACAGGCTAGCTCCTTACTATGGGCATAGTATGTAAAGATGATAGTTGTATAATGTAAAGATGATAGTTGCAGTTGTTTTGCAGGCCAAAGGTCATACAATGTGTTACTGAGTAGATCTTAATAATGTTTTTGGTCTTGTGTGAATATTATTTGATGGTTGCGAATCATGACATTATTATCTTTCTTCAATTTCATTTATGAAATTTTACAAGGTGAGTTTAAAATTTTGCAAAGGTAATTTATACAAATATTTTATAATATATTTGTACTGACATACATAGAATATAACATGAGATGTAGGTTGATAAATATTTAAAATTTCATCTTTTTTTTTTTTTTTTTTTTTTTTTTGTTTTCATTGAATTTTATTTAAAATTATTCTACATGGTTATGTACATTTCATTTTGTGCTAAATGTGTACTTTTGTGGTTAATGGGGATTTAGCTTACAGGAATGCTAGCATTCTATTAGTTTTTGTGCACTGTTTTTATGGGAATTGTGCATATGGATACCCATATAATTCTATGTTTTTATTTACAGAGATTCAGCCTATGGGTATCTGTGCACTTCTGCAGATTTTTGTGTACACCTTTTTAGCGAAATCGGCCAGGGATTTGTCCTATGGGTACCCTTATCTAAATATAGAAGTATACAGTCTGACTGCAGTAAGCTGGCATATGACCTTGAAGCTATTCATTTTTAAGTAGGGGCTACCAGGTTAATAATGCTACAAGCAGAGCTTTTATCCTCAATTTTAATTACAATTTTTAACCTCCCCCCACAAAAACAGGCTTAAACGTGCAAAATCAGAAAACTACTACGGTTATGTTGTCACAGAAATATTCGTGTTTGAAGAATGGAATCATGTGAAACCACTTGACTCAAACACCTTTTTCTTAATGCCGAACAATACTGATTTTTACAAGGACTTGCTGACAGGTACCTGTATAGGTCTATGAGTTTTTGTCTAATGGTTTTACAGAGATTTGTCCTACAGGTACATGTATGTCAAACCCCTGTACAATTTTTTATTGATCTGTACTGGGCAATTTAAGCACAGCCTGTGACAATCGCATTAAACTAAAGTACACTTAATGCTACTGTAATTAAATCTAATACTGTCAAATAAAATACAATGAAAATATCAATAATATTTTGTTTAGTGAAATTTTTTAATTAGACTTGAGACATAAAACTACATAGTATAACAACTGAAACACACATTTATACACAAACTATGCACATTCGGCAATTGTCAAGTCTAATAAAAATTATACAAATAATAATGTCTTGGAAAAAACAGTGCAGATTTTTTAAAATTAAAAACTGTCAAAAAGACTAAGCGGTATAAATAAAGAAATATTTTATTCATAGCATTCTGAAGCATTTAATTTTTATGCACCTTTATATCACATAAGTAGCTGAATATTTTATGAAACTACATCCTATTTCCTCAGTTCTGGAATATAATTTGATCTTCAGCATGAAGCTGCTAGAAAATTCAGTATTAAAAAACAACTTATTTCACAGTGGTGAAAAAATATATATTAGAAAGCCTGTCAAAATCAAAATATGAGTATATTTTAATACATTAGGGAGTTAATTAGTGAATCAATGATATTTTATACCTGACGTATAAGTTAATTAGACATTTGAGTAGCATGTTTTTGGCCTAAAACTTCAAGTTATACACTGAAAAGTATGGTTCTGCTATATTACACATAATACATGCACAACTTTTCGGAAAAGCTCATTATTGTATTAAAATTTATTTCAAAATTGAGGAAATAAAAGATATCTCAAAATGATACTTCAATTACACAAGCAAACCTACATCTTAAGGATAAAAGAAACAACAAATAATTATCACTTTTAAAATTGGCACAGATTTCTCTTTACAGCAAGAATTCCCAACCCTTTTCTTGCATCGATCCCTTTTAAAAGAATCGTTTTTCTTCAGCTACTCCCTTAAGTTTCTCTCTATAATATACACATACAACATAATACAAACAACTGGCACATGACTAAATTAAAAATATGTATTAGACTAAGAATATGAATCAAACTTTAAAAAAAAAAATAAATAAAAGATTTATTAGATTTATGTTGAATTACTTTTGTATAATTATTACTTTTAATTTTTTGAATATCCTTCTTCTATGCAATCAGCTTTTCTTGCATCATAATGCTCAAGATCGATATATCGCAGTTTGGCAGATCTATGAGCCATGCTGTTGCATTCAAATTTCCAATGTCTCCAAAGAGAACATAAAAATCTTCTTTTCAATTTTGCAAGTGATTTCTATACAACAATATAACTTCTAAGAAAATTTTTTTTTTTTTTTTTCAGTTTTTTGTGTTTTGTGTATTTTTCTTTTTTATGTTCAACTTATAGCATTAAAAATTATACATTTAACAAAATATTATTGGTTTTAAAATATATTAGAAAAATTGTCTGTATTTTTTTTTTTCCCTTATATTTATTTTATACTACATGATATAGTGTTATATTAATAATACAATTAATTATTAATTTTAATAGAAAAATTCTTGTTTTTTAGTCAGTGTGATATTGATTCTCCCACTCAATTGCCGGTGCATAATTGGCCATCGATCTCCTTTATAATTTTCATCAATCCCCAAAGGGTGTCAATATCAGCTTTTTTGGGAACCCTTGCTCTACAGTAATGAGCACTAGTACTTTATTTGGGACTTACAGTATCAATCTCAACAGTATATCAGCTAGTAAAAGCTTCTTCATAAATAAAACAAAATTACAATCACCTGTTAAAATAAAATTTTAAAAAAACTTTATACATTATTTTACATAAATCGATCACTTTCTCTAAATCTTTCTACTAGCATTTCATACTAGATACACTGGGAAAAATACGGGTATCAGTTAAGTTCTGCCTAAGTATAAAAAATATTTAACACAATACAAGTATTTAACTGAAAGCAGAAAAATTTTGTTATGCTTCCTACCTATATACATTCTATGTACTGTAGTATTCAATCGCTTCAAATACTGTCAGCTAAATTTGAAGCTCTGATTTATGAATGGTGATAAAGATTTAGCTTTTAAATTCTTACTAATACATGTAATTTTTCATATATAAAACATAAGAGTAATCACATAATACATATATGCTGTGAATATTAATTCTGATTAAGGTATTATAACAGATTAGAAGTTGATACATTAAAACAGATCATTCTAAAAATTTTTGTGGCATGTAATACATAAAAGAATCTGGTAGATTAAAAATTCATTGATAATAACTAAATGGAAAGTTTTTAAAATTTTGTGGATAATGAAATTACAATATACAATTCTTTGTTCCCTCAAAATTCTCAACTTTTGCAAAGGGGGCTTTTTCTTAACATGTATAGTTAAAATCAGGGATGTGCAAATAAGGGTTCAGTGAACAATTATTTGCACAGTGCAGTGAACTTGTTTAGCGTCTTCACAAATTGGCCAATGGCACCTTTATGAAGTTTAACAAACATTCATCAAGCTTCTGTTACCCTTACAATAGATTTTGTCTTGTGGAATTCCCATCCTAAAGGTTCTAGTAACTTTTTAACAGGTAGGTCACTGTTTTCCAAAGATGCCCTGTTATAAGGTGCCCACACCCTTATAAAAGCTCAGTTTATATTTTAAAGAAAGCAATTTTTGTCAAGATACAGGTACCTTTATGTCAGAACAGCTGCATCATGTTTTGTCTTAGTTGAAAGCCTCATTGCAAGTGTGCTCACAGCATCACAACGTTCAATTTATAAGTTGGAGGAATAATTTTTGTGAAGGTGACTCTTACAGCACAGTTTATAATAGCTTTTATCTTCGCAAACAGTTGCTAATTTACAAAAAAGAGTTGGTATCTATATGAAATCTTCGCTGTGGCATGACATAATAATTTAATGCTTCAGTGTGATTTAATAAAGAATTAAATCTAGCCTACAAGTTTATGACAATGCAATTAAGACGAAGAGTTTATAGCATATTTATCATTAATTTATCTTATGTTTTTTGGGGGAATGTAAATAATTCTTAAAATTATTTTTTTTTCTTTATTTTGTGATTGTGACTGATACTTTATCCCTTTTTAAACCATTACTATCAGGTGGAAAGGTGAACCCTGCATAAATGACATATAATCATACACCAGCATATAACATGAAGAATGCAACCTTTCTTGAAATTCCAGGAAACTTGTGCAAAGACCTAACAGAATAGCCCCCAACTCCAATAAAGGTGCAGGGCCGTTCTGTAAGATAACCATTGTTCTTGAGATGTAAGGAGTGCTGGCATCCCTATAAAAATTCACTTCATACAATAAAGAATGCAACTTTCATCCAAATGCCAGAAGAAGACCCACAGGAAGATTCAAATCAATACTTTTTGATTTGGTAAATGTAGCAGCACTTTCAAGAATTTTAGTTTATACCATGGAGAAATCATCCTGTAAATCATCCTGGATTCCTGTAAATATCTAGGTGAAGAGGTAGTGGTAAGGTGAATACAGGTGATGGCACTATTTGCAAGTCTAGCTATTACTCTCCCAGATATAAGGGGCACCTTCATGAAGTTCAATTTAAACCACAAAAAATGCAACTTTCATCATGAGGTCACCCATGTAAAGGTCTTTATTTCAGTGAAGAGTCGTCAATATATATCAAGAAGCCCCCATTCCTATGAAGTTCAGTTATGAGTTTAAGAAATTCTTAAAAAGCCACGTTCATCAAGTGCAAAGCTTTAAGATGGGTTCTGTCTTAGTCAAATCTTCATCCTAAAGGTGCCAGAACTTTTATAAAGGTGGGCCTCTGCTACCCGAGGATGTCCTGGTACAAAGTGCTGGCACCCTTAAGAAGTAGGTACCATTATGACGTTCAGTTTATGACTTGGAGAAAGTACCTGTCATTGAAGTGTTTTACAACCCATTTCTGATGGTTTCTCGCTTGGTGAGCAATCGCTGGCATCTTTGGTAACAAAGCAGACCCATAGCCATTGGCTCTTCGGTCAACTTCCTGATAGCACAATTGCCCCAGGTTAAAACAAGCTTCAAAGCGGGAATCAAAAAATTAGGAGAGAAAGGTAACAATGGGACATTAACATTCTAATATGCATTCATAAAAACATTATGGGAAAAACTTTCATAATCAATATACATCAAATTATATATCTTATCTTGGCAAAAATAAGGAATGCATACACACGAATAATAAGCAAATAGCATTTTCAGCAGCAGCAGCAAACAATAATGTACAAGGATAAATAATATACATATATAAATAATGGGTTCACACTATACAGTTCTTCTTCTAGATGACAAAAACATTTAGTTTTAATCACACTTTTTCTTATTTATAAATAGAAAGCAGCATTTTCAATGGAAAAGTAAAAGAGTTAAAAAAAAAAAAAATGATAGGAGGTATATTATAAAGGATTTCTTCTTTGATGCACCATCATTAAAATATTGCATAAGGAAATTAACCATATCCAGATATTCAACACAGGGCATGACAACAAATTATGGTACAAAAATAATATTGATTGATACACTAGTTAATTAAAACATTGGTGTTTAAAACTTATGGCAGTCTGACCCCATAAAAATGCAAATAAGCCCAAAAAACAATTTTACAAACCAAATCAGAGCGTCGACCCTTAGTTATATACCATCAATTTAGATGTTTTTAGTATTTTTATCCCTGATCCCAGTATAAAATTTTGTGACCCTAAATGGGGTTACAACCCACAGTTTCAATAACACCGAGTTAAGATATCCGGAAAGTAAATTATTTATCAACTTAAAATCTTTTAAAGGAAAAAATATTTTTCAAAATAAATGCATATTCTCATACAAAATAACTGAAGTTAGAAGGTTACTTACCTGTTAATGGAGAAAAAGCGAAAATTCACCAAAAAGGAGTGAATAATTGCCAACTTTGGCACCATAACACAAATTATACACCACTACAAATTTAACACATGACTATGTTTAAGAATGGACTTTTTTGAGTTTATAGATTGATCATGGATCTATGAAATTTATCAAACAATGAAGGTGACACTATTAGTTTTTCACAAGATTATAATACATTACCACAGGAATTCCCAACTCTATTGGTAGACACCATTGCACCCACCGATTGTTTCTCGTTTTTAATGAAAGAGAAATTGCATTCAACACAGATACCAACACAAAGTAAAATGTGACTGATCTCCTTTTATGTACATGTATTATTGATTCTATTCAACTACAAATTCACCTAGAAAACATAAATGGTGGCCACCCTCCAACAGATATTCTAGAATGCACTCTTTGGAACAAAATGGTTGGGAAGCCCTGCATTAACAGGTAACTAACTGTCAATGTTCCAATCTGCACAAAATGAAGTTTTATTCGAGTCAACAAAAGAGTGCAAGGTAACATTTGACCATTTATTCTGACCTTGAAACACCTATAAAATAGAATATTCCACAAAGCTGGTTTTGAGCTTTTCAAAGTGAATCACAAATTCAATTATATGGATCCTGATTCTTAAGTTCATAAACAAAATATTGAGCAGGTATGGGGTTCTTCAAATGGGGGGGGGGGGGGACAAGAAACAAAAGGATACAGCTAAACACCATATAAAGTCATACTTAGCAGAGTTTGTGTGGTGGCAGAAAGTTGGAGTAAAAAAAAAAAAAAAAAAAAGACTCTCCAAAACTATTGCCCAACATTTTCCACTTGAAGTAAATAAAAAACTAATTTTATCATATTACTACCAAAATTAGCTAATCCTTCTCCATTAACACATAAGTAGTCTTACAAGCTTATACAAGTTAAAGAACAAGATTTCATACACATTACATACATTTTAAACTACACAAAATTAATTTGAAATTGATTAAATCAAAACAAATAATAAAATTCCTTTAAAAAAATAAGCATGTCATAACTTTACATGAATTTGGGAAAATAAAAATACTTAGAAAGGAAGTTTGAGGTCAAGAATTCACAGACAGTTATGTACTATACACAAGAATATACATTAATAAATAAATAGTCGATCATAACACAAATAGAGAAATATGAGAAAAATTTACAAAAGTCACTTGAACTTTACAAGAGAGAGACTATAATATACACTATATTTTAGAGTTTCGACTTTTAAGATTACAGCATTAACAAAAGTAGACAACCAATATTTGTTAAATATGCTTATGCCCCTCAAGACATTTGCAAGATTGGTGACTTGTTTCAAAGTGAGCAGATTTAATATAGGGTGTCCTGATGAAAGCCACAGATTTAATATGCCCCAATATATACTTTATTTTTAGAAAACAAAATATTTTTTGCATATTTGCAATGGGTAAATGTTTCAATTTAAAAGTATGGAGTTTGATCTGACTTTGCAACACTGGCATTTCATCATTGTCCGTTAATTTCACAGCTTCATTGCAGCTTTGTAAGACTGTTACACATAAGAAAAAGGAAATTTTAATAGTGAAAATTCATTAAAAGAAATGTGAATGTTATGCACAGACTATTAGGGAACTTTGAGCAATCTCTGGAAATGAAAGTGCATCTAAACAACAGCTCACAAATGGATAACGAAATCTGAGGATACAGGTTCAACACATATTAAATTTCTACATCCTCAATTCACTTAGTCTGTCGAAAATATCGCTATTGTTTGATAGAGTTAATGCAAGTTCCAAAGAATCCACATTTAAAGAGAAACGACAAAGGAACTTAACCCTTTGACTGGTTTCATGAAAAAAGTTCAAATTTCTCAAAACCGTCATGAGAAACAGATCTTTTCTTAATTTTAGTGCCAATATGCCCCTGGCCATTTTTATGTAATTTTTATATATTGTCTTAATTTCTTGGATATATTTCAAGACATACATATAAATACTTTCTTAAAGACATTATAAAAAATATTCTAGGCTGCATATTTGAAACCTTGCAGGTCAGAGGGTTAAACCTCAGGATGTTAAGGCCTTCGCTACCTATTTGCTTAAAAAACTGAAACACCTAAAACTCCTTTTGAGATTCACAGTAATTCTTCCCCTCTCCCCATTCATTAACGGAAAAAAAAGGTGTGAAGATTTCATATATGTTTTCTGGTTTCTAAGAAAGGAAAGGAGCTTCCATAAGCCCCTGAGTATTGAGTCACCTTTAATCTAAATATAAGTAACAATAAAAGAATCCTTTTATGACAAGACTGTCTACAATAAAGATGAAATGATACAATGCACTTGGGGAACTGCAACTTAGACTATTGTGTACTTCAAGGGGAGGTTAGAAATAGAGCATAAGATCTCTGTCTTTCGAGGGGCTATCGGTCGCTTGAATGAAAGGCCACTTTGAGCGTTTTAGTCGTGAAAAAAATTTAATGTGTCATTATGCAATAGATAGATATTATGTGAAAAGTGATTACAAATTGCATCGAGAGACTGCAGTGCTGCAGAGTAAGTCCGGAAATATTCCTTATGCTATTTTTATTTTTAAATTGGAACATTTAAGAGCTGTAAAAATATTTCCTATTTTCTAAAAATAAAGTATTTTATTGGTGATAATAAATCCTGTACTTCCCAGCTCTTTCCGGCTTGGGCATGTTAAATCCAGGCTGTTTCGTCAGGATAGCCCTTTAGAAACTGAGATCAACAATGCAAGACGTGGTAATTACTCAATACTTATTTACATATAATTTAACTGCTGTAATTCATTCTAAAAATAAATTTCGTAAGTATGAGGTAAAATTTAAGAATCTGCTAAGTGCAAAAATTCTAATATCATAAGCTCCATATATGCAAATTGATACTAATAAATAATTTTAAACATGTGTACAATGAATATTACAAATTGTCGATTAACAGCACTCAACGCCTCACAGTTCATTTTACAGGAAAATAAAAGTCAACTACAACCTGGTGGTAACAAAATGTTCATGTGAATGCATCTGATAAACAAACATATCCTTTCTGAGATGCTGTGATTGCACTAATTGAATGCTAGTGAACTTCCATGATTCAGTTGCAGGATCCAATTTCATGTCGGACACAGAACTAAAGAAATAAACACAAAAATTTTGTTAATATATCATTTTTAAGGAAAACTCATTGATGTGAATTATGGCAAGATTTTAAAAATCTGGTATATTTCATGTACAGCTACTGTACATTTTTAATGCACAAAACTGCTAAGTGCAAATAATTGCATATTCTTATACAAGATATATATGCGGATAAAGTAACTGGATAATTTCTTATAAATGAGAAAAAGATTACAAATAATTGCCAGAGGAGTCTCTGCAATTTTTTCAGGTCATCAAAACATTGTTTATAGTGGAACTAAACGTTTCGGAAAATATGCATAACATTTGATTTAATATCTAAAATGTTTTCAAATCTCTGTCCCTTCAGGATCATCTTAAACTTTGAAAAAAAAGGGGAAAACATCTGCTGCCGATATGTCAGAAGAATACGGTGGGTGATTTATCTCTGCAACTGAAAGTTTAAGCAAGATACTGCTATACAGACAATGCTGTATGGAGCTTAACATTATCATGTGAAAGATGCCATAGCCCAGACTCAAAAAGTTCTTTCTTATTGGCCTTATTCAGTTTCTTAATTGAAGCACCTCTTTGCAAAAATACTGACTAACTGTTTGATTTTTAGGAAAATATTCATTGTGAAAAGTACTTGGTAATTAAAAAATGCAATTAGCATTCTCAACATCTTTGATTTTGACATCGGTACTTCACGTTCAATACTAATTTATAAAGAACGTATTTAAAATCAGTTTTTTTATTATTTATTATATAAAATTAATGCATAGGATACCAAAGAAGAAAAATTATTGCTTTATGACAAAAGTTGTGCAAACTTATCAAGAGGAAAAGATTATATTCTTTGAAAAGGAACCAATTAATTTGAGTACTTTATCACATAAAACAAAATTAATGATATTGCTTTGTGTTAAGCTTTTATAATAAAAATTAAATGTATGTATTCAAATAGAATTAAAAAAAACTGCAAAACCAGAAAATATTTTTGTTTACCATACAAAAAATATCTGCCATTAATAAATGAAATTTTTTCAGTTTGGTATTCTTTTTATAATTCTACGACATACAAATGATTGTATATTTAAATACATATGCATACATACCACTCAGAAAATAAGTACAGTTTAAACATATACCCTGCACATCTGTTTGTAGCACAAAAATCGCATATGCATAGTTGCATCGTTCAACTCGAGAATGAATTAGTATAGTTTACATTTTGAAGTGACAGTTTGCTGATAATCATGCTTGAAACAATCAATCTGCCTGCCAGGTGCTAAATATGAGCCGTTACCAAGTTTTTAAATACGAGAAATGTTCAACCTTGTGAAATTTATTGTCAGATAAGTGAAATTTATGAAGAGAACACAATAAGGAATGGTGCCAAAGTGGGTTAGGAAGTTTAATGAAGGAAGGGAAAATACTCACAGATAGGAGCACAATGGAAACCATTATTGATCAGGAGAGGATTGATGTGCTGCATCAACAGAAAAGTTCGTCCAATAGGCGATTTACGATTTCTGGTTTGTCAATGCATTTTCAAAACATGTCAAGATCTTTATTACATGAAATGGTGATTGAAAATTCGCACAACATAAAATTATGTTTGCAATGGGTACCGAAAACACAAACAGGCCTTCAAAAAGGGAAACAAAACACATGGAAGCAGCCTGGGAGTTTTTGCAGCGTTATGCATCAGAAGGAAATGATTTTTTGAGAAGGATTTCCACAGGCGATGAAACACAGATTTGTTACAAGACATCTGAAACAGAATTAGAGTCACTGGAATAGTGGCATATTGGTTCCCAAAAAATGAAGAAAGCAGAGCCACCTCTTCAAGAAAAATCATATACACCTTGTTTTGGGACTGTCAAAGAATTTTTTTAGTGGACTGGATGGAAAGAGGGCCAAAATGCTACAGATTACAATGAGAGACTGAAAAAGTTACACCATATGATACAGAACAAAAGGAGTGAATTACTGACTTTTGGAATTGTATTCATGCATGACAACATGCGCCCGCATACTACACATGTAACGATGATGCTGCTTGATTCATTTCACTGGGACCAATTCTGTCCCCCTCCTTATAATCTGGAATAGCTCCAAGTGACTTCCTTTGTTTTCTCATCTCAAGAAATTTCCCGTTGGCTAGCACTTTGTAAATGGTAATGATATCAAGGTAAAGAAACATGCAGAACCGGTTCAGGTTGCAGGCAACCGAATTCTATAAAGCGGATATGTTGCAATTAGTGCCATGATATGATAGTCTTAATTCACATGCTCAATATGTTGAAAATTAGTTTAAGATGTGCAGATTTTTCTGTAACAAAATACAAATAAAAACAAATCAATAATCTTTCTCAATACCCAAACAGTACTTACTTTCTGGATAAGCTTTCTACACAGATACATATGTACATTAGATAAGGTATTTCATTCCTTTTTCCATTGGAGGAAAATTATATATAAAGAATTAATACTGAAAAATTTTAACCATATGGAAAAGAAAAAAAAAAAAAAAAAAAAAAAAGATTGATGACTTATTTTCGATGAAATGTATTTAATATATAGCTATTAAATCAAAATTTTGCTTTCTGTTAAAATGAAAAGGAATTATTTATATATACAGTAAGACCCCGCTTGTTCCATCAAAGTAGAGCGTAATGCGAAACAACGCTAAACGAGGCAATCTTAACATGTAAATAATGGAGTTAGAGGAAAATGGATAGAAAATTGGTTAGGTATTAAATTTAATGTTTTTTTAATAAAAATAAAACCAAACATTTATTTCTTACAAAAATAAAAACAATATAAACGAATATACTTATAAAAACAATAAAAATTCTAACTAAGCCAGTCAGATCATTCAGTCTATTCTGTGTTTCCAATTTTCTGCCTTTTTGTCAAGAAGGCTTTATGAAAGATTGGCTTAATGGCATACTGCGTTCAATTTCGTTGTCAGTCCATATAGACAGTCGTTTTTCCACTTCCTCTATAATGTTATTTCTAGAACGGGTAATCCTAGTTGCAGAGCTTGACGTATTTGCAGTTGCCGATGACAGTATTTTTTCTTTATTCTTAAGAATTGTCCTTATTGTTGAAGTTGCCAAATTCAATGCAGCACTAATTTGAGATTGACTCTCACCAGAATCTAATCTTCCAATCACTTGCATTTAAGTTTCTAGTGAAATGCTTTTTCTGGTTGCTATCTTTTCTTGTTTTTTATTATCACCCATGATAAAAACTAAAGATCATAATATTTGTCACTGTATTAATCGTTATAGTATTATGTAAATTTATACATACAATAATGTCAACAAATGTTTCAAATGATAAAAATGCTTCCGTACAGCACCTCACCGCACCAAACAAGAAACATAACTACAAAGTTTCGGATATGTTATTTGGAAACCTACCGCTGCGCACAATTTCGAGGAATCCCCATAGTTCATGCTGCGAGCAATTTTGGGGAATCCCGAGGTTGAAATAAAAAGAGCGCTAAACCGAAACAGCGTTAAGCGGGGTCTTACTGTATATATATATATATATTAGCACGAGATTTTAAACAAAATTAAGATTTATATTATTTAATATAAACACATTTATATATATATTTTTATCAGTTTTCATAGGACCACTGCAAAGGGCATAACCTAAAGAAACACTTTTGTTTAATTTGGCTATTCTTATTTCATAATGGATTGATTTGTTCCTCTTGACAAGTCAATTAATCTATGATCAATGATAATAGCTACCTTTTCAGTACACACTTTTTCTATACAGCTTTTAAATAATTTTTACTACAGTAGAAATCTAAATAACTTTAAATACTTACTAAAATTTATTTCAATAATTCATCACTTTAAAATACTGATTAAAGTTTATTCCAATCATTTTAATTAAATTTCTGCTTCTTGGAGAGATATATGAAAAATCTTTTCTAATAATATATAGATACATACCTACATATAATGGATGTAAGTATGTAAACAATTATAAACTTTATTTCTTATAACAACTTCCAACTACGACACCTCATGGCATTATGATTTTAATAAAGTTTGTTATACTGAAGAAAAATGATAAGAAACTATCTTTATCACAAATTGTAGATGATCATCGAACCTGGTTAAGATTTATCATCATCAGCCAAATTTAAAAAAAAAGGTTCACATATAAATGTATTCTCATATAAAGAGATGGATACTTAAATATGTTGAGGTCTCCAAAGAAAAATATTCCTATTCCATAATTAAAAATTGCTGTGAAATGCATAGTATTAAAATTTTTAAGTGAAAAATAAGCAAGATTATTAACCGGAAAGGGAAAAACCATCAATCATTACTTCTACAAGTACAGAAGTCTTCAAACGAATCATCAAGATAAAGTAACAAAAGTAATATTTAATATAATAAACCAGTTCTAACAGATCATATTAAAAGTACGCATAGCCACAATTTAATATTACAATGATAAACTGTTTGAAAACATACCTTTGAGAATATAGTCAGTAAGTAAAGCTGGTACAGCTGGATTATCTTCATTAATTGCCTTTAGAACTAAAAGAAATAAGAATAACTTCATTAGCAGACATATATTTTAAGCAAAATATATTATTTGTTTATTAGTTGGTATTTGCCTGTACATTGCCAGAAATATTACTCCTGACTGACTGCTGTCAGTTGTTGACAATTCTAGAATCTGTTCTAGATTCTTCTAGAAAGATGAGATTTTTATCACTGTTTCTTTTCTTGTTAATTTTTTGGGGGGTTAAGGAAGTTGTAAAAGGGTTTTTATTTTATTTCAGTATTAGTGTTAAATTGCAGCAAATGCATTTCTGCACTGCATCATTAATTCGATAATCCTATGCTAGAGGAAAAATTCTCAGGGCAAAATTTGTTCATCTTGTGTTAATTTTTAACTGAATTTTCACCATGTGTGTATTGAGTATGAAGCAACCCATTATTCTTGAGTATATAGTAGCTTGCCAATAAATTACTCCTCTAAAAGCTAAAGAATTATGCACACTTTCTGATCATCCACAATCTTCTACAAAAAGTATTCATGAAAAAATGCACAATGTTCATATATTAAGTATTTTAAAGTGATGAATTATTGAAATAAATTTTAGTAAGTATTTAAAGTTATTTAGATTTCTACTGTAGTAAAAATTATTTAAAAGCTGTATAGAAAAAGTATGTATTGAAAAGGTAGCTATTATCATTGATCATAGATTAATTGACTTGTCAAGAGGAACAAACCAATCCATTATGAAATAACAATAGCCAAATTAAAACAAAAGTGTTTCTTTAGGTTATGCCCTTTGCAGTGGTCCTCTGAAAACTGATAAAAAAAATATATAAATGTGTTTATATTAAATAATATAAATCTTAATTTTGTTTAAAATCTCGTGCTAATATATATATATACAGTAAGACCCCGCTTAACGGTGTTTCGTTTAGCGCTCTTTTATTTCAACCTCGGGATTCCCCAAAATTGCTCGCAGCATGAACTACGGGGATTCCTCGAAATTGTGCGCAGCGGTAGGTTTCCAAATGAACAATGTGGCAACCCACAATGTCACCAAAAGGCAGTAATGCTATAAATCACAATGTTAGCAAAAGGTATTTATGTGGCAACCCAAGGTGTCGCCAAAAAGTATTCATTTGGCAACCCACGATGTCAAAGATTTTTGTTGCGGTCATTCTTCTGATTAGTATTTATTTTTGCATAAAATACATTTCTTTTTGGTTGTAATGAATCAAAATGGAACTGTGGTGTTTGCCCTCTTTACTTTCATAATGCTAAAGTGTCTGAGGAAGTATAATCCTCTTGTTCCTGGTGTACCATATATGATACAGCTCAGTTTCCCACCATATCAGATGTGATATGGTGAAACAGAACATTCTGTTTCAAATTTTAAATGTGCACAAATTATCTCAGAATGCTGCAGAAACTTAGTGAATAAAATCTCTAGATTGTTAGCATTGTTTTGGTGAATATTATTTATTATTTTATTCTACAAAAGTAAAATTCATGAAGCTAACACACATTCCTTAATTTAGGAACATTTTGCCCAGTGAAAGCATCTTAAAATTTTTGTAAGTAAATATGGTAATAACATATAATAAGCACTGATATTTAAAATTCTTAAGTTTCTTACTTCATTAATGTACAGAAATAATTTAAATATGGAAATACAATCATTATTATTAATACTGCAATTTAATTTATTTTGAATTTTTATTTTAAGTGTTAGGATTTTCTGTTTATATAACAAGAAATAAAATATGCAAGAATCCAAATGTTTAGATAAAAAGAAAGTTTTATAGGGATTACTAGCGGGCAAGCCCGCTTTATTCATTTTTCATGTCTTAGAGTTCCCATGTTAAATTTGTGGAGATGTTTGATATTTTAATGCTTTAATGTAAAACTTTATCTTTTAATCAGACTTCAAAATAATGTTTTAATAACAAAAACTTACTAAGAAATTGGCAGTAAAAAATCAAATAACAAATGATTTTCTAAGCTAGAACAGTTTCATTGCTCAAAAAATTCTAAAAATAAAAATCCCTAAAGCAGTGGTATATAGGTTTTAACATATTGGGACAGTGACAAATTCCTATGTCTTTCTAAACATGGAGCCATACGGGAAAAACCCCAAGAAAAAATCCCTAAAGTAGCTATTCAGTCACATTCAAATTAACGTGTCCATAGTTTTTAATTAATAGCTCATCTGATTAAAGTCATATAAAAATAAGAATGGTATCAAAGGATTCCGACGAATTTTTGAAATTCAACTAAGCACTGTTCCATAGATATTTGTAAAAAAGGAAACCACGTAGCCAGATCCCTTTAATAGGGACCAACTCAACAAAGGAAGTGAAAAATTCGTGTTTAATTTATCATTTGGAAAAGTATTTTTAATTAATATCTCGACTAATTAAAGTCGTACGAAGATGGGAATGGTCAAAATGGCTTAACAGGAATTTTTGGAATCCAACGGTGTGTTTCGCTAAGCTCAGAAGCGAGCGGTGCTTAGTTGGTTCAAGAGAAGGTGATGTTACAGACAGACATGCACAGATTTTAATAGTACAGATTTTTGCACGTTACGTATAACTGGAAAATCCCTAAAGCAGTGGTATATAGGTTTTAACATATTGGGACAGTGACAAATTCCTATGTCTTTCAAAACACGGAGCCATACGGGAAAAACCCCAAGAAAAAATCCCTAAAGTAGCTATTCAGTCACATTCAAATTAACGTGTCCATAGTTTTTAATTAATAGCTCATCTGATTAAAGTCATATAAAAATAAGAATGGTATCAATGGATTCTGACGAATTTTTGAAATTCAACTAAGCACTGTTCCATAGATATTTGTAAAAAAGGAAACCACGTAGCCAGATCCCTTTAATAGGGACAAACCCAACAAAGGAAGTGAAAAATTCGTGTTTAATTTATCATTTGGAAAAGTATTTTTAATTAATATCTCGACTAATTAAAGTCGTACGAAGATGGGAATGGTCAAAATGGCTTAACAGGAATTTTTGGAATCCAACGGTGTGTTTCGCTAAGCTCAGAAGCGAGCGATGCTTAGTTGGTTCAAGAGAAGGTGATGTTACAGACAGACATGCACAGATTTTAATAGCATAGATTTTTGCACGTTACGTATAACTGGAAAATGCGCTTGGGCTTGGAAAATGTGCAGGAGCAAAGAGGTTTGTTTTTGGACGATCACGATCATGGTCATGGTCAGTGTGCAGTATTGATGTTAGCAATGCATTTTCTGATTTTTTTTTACAGCAAAAATAGATTATTACACAATGAACTCAAACTGGGAAACTACATAAGAAAACTATGATGGAACTGGGAAAACTGTTCTATAAAAAAAGGAGACTGCTAAAAATTGATAAAAAGAACGTAACTGAGAAACTGATGGAAATTGAAGAACTGACAAAAAAGAAAATGTCTTGCATGGGAAAAGACTGCAAAAGACAGCAGAAATTGAAACAGCGATAAAGATAGCCCAATCATTTTCTCTCCAAAACTGGCAATGAGTTCATGAATGTTTCCTGAAGTCACCAAAGATTTTTCGACGAGGGTGTGGGTAAACCACTAGGAAAAGAGAAACAGCCACTCAAATACTGAAATTATACCTAAAAATGCAAAAATTACATAGTATTCAGGATCAGCCCATTTCAGAAATCTTGAAACTACCCTGGAGTAAAAATGTAATATAATTTCAAATAAATATGAATGTGATACATATACATACATGCAAATTTTAAAACAATTTGATTAGCAAAGTGAAAATTATAATGCTTTTTAATTTATTAAATGTTAATTTATGTTTCTCTGAATTTAACTGTTTCATAAATTTTCATTTTTCTTTGTTCCATAAAGTTATCTTTCTGGTTTCTCAACACTTCTTTAAAATAATTACTAAGCTTTAACCTGGTTTTAGAGATGGGGTTGGTGAATTCCGGAAAGGGAGACAATTAGCAAATCATTTTGATATAGACAATGACTCTTAGCCTTCAAGAAGTATGCATATTAACAGATGCGGAAGTTACCAGATGAGGAACTGCCGATAGGAAGAGCATGGTTCGTGCTAAGTAATGAATTCTGACAAGCTGTCGAAATAGTCAATAAATTATCTCTAAAATTTTTACAATAGGGCCTTGCAAGGCAAAAATTTCACACATATTTTTGTTTAATGAGAATAAATATTTCTGTTTTTACAGCATCTATGCTGTCACTATTCAAAAATTTTCTAGCATAACATCACCCATGAAATTAAATATACTTCTAACAGTGGGTCGAAGGAAAGATGCTTAAACAAATTCAACTGCCAATAATTGGCTATTCTGTTTTTCATATTCTTTTAGTCTAATATATCTGCTAAAATGTTTAGAAGTAGTTTTTCTGTTCTGTATAACAAAAAAAATTAATTATTTGACAGTTTTCAATTCTGCGGTAAAACAAATATTTTCAGCTTTTGAAATAACATTTGGTAAATTATCTACTAATTTCATCAAACCAATGAAAGCAGTTTTACAATGCAGAACAAGATTGATGCCATTAAATTTTATGGCAGGATTCTTTAAGGATAGCCTTTATTTTTACATGCAATGAGCCCATTCTACGTATGTCTCTTTTAAAATACATTTAAACTCTTTTAACAGATTAACCATTCCAGAATTCCTATTAATTTTTGAAGCTTCAGCACTAATAAAAATTAATCACGGTCATTTATCTAATTAAATTTAGTTATCTATTTTATAATTTAAATTTCTACATTAAAACTAATAATTATTATAAATTTATTACCATAATCATTTACTTATTTAATTATGTTAATAATTTAATTATTATTTAATTTGAAAAATAATTTTCAGTTTCTGCATTAATAAAAAATAATCAAGGAGATTTGCCTAGTTAAATATTTATTTATTATACACTTTCTTTCTGGATTTCAGAAAATAAAAGTTCAGAATTTCAACAGTCCACACCTGGTTGCACTACACACATGGAATTACGCTAGTACTACACCAAAAAGGTTACAAAAACAGTACAATCAATATAAAACCTATTATACTATACTCACTTTTTATGAGAATCTGCAATGTGTGATTATTGGGTGGTCCATTTTCTACACTGTACGGGATCACCGTCGTCAGAAACTGAAACATTCCAAAAATTAAAAAGGGAAATAATTTCATGCAAAATCAAAATGTAAACAACAACGTCTACAACATAGAAAAAATTGCCCTGACAGATGTACAATAATAATAAAAGGCCATTACAGTACAGACACAATATTTTGTAAATGCCTTAGCATTTAAAAAACACCTATGTGGCAAGAAACAACCTTCCATTCCATGTAACTCTGTTTCAAACAGAAGTTACTGCTAGATAAGACACTCTATGGGCATCTCAACAAGATTTATTTAAACCCACCACAGTAAAAAAAAAATCTGAATGCTTTCAGATTTTATATTACGCCCAAAGGAGTGTTTTTTAACGTTTTTTGCGTTACCTTTATTTATTAATCCTTTCACAATGGCGCACCTTTGTTTAAGACGCTTGCGCGGAAGGAAGGGAATCGAAGGCAGTCACCATACAGGACGGGGGAGGGGGTGAATCGATAAGCCTAATTTTATAAAAAAATTCAGAAAAAAAAAAAAAAGTTTCACTTCTAGCATTGTAATTTTTGGTATCATTTTAGATTATTACTTGAGCTCTTATATATGTTAAAATTAGCATTTAATAACTTTTTTCTTTATTTTACATGAAAATATATTTATAAAATCGCTTACCTCGTAAAGTAATTTTCGGGAGCGCTATTCAAATTATTCCAAAGTTTTAATTTATAAAATCCATAAATAAAGTTTAAATTAATAATACACTAAAGACTATTTACAGTACAAAGTAACACAATTTAAAATGAAGACTGTGGTACATCTCTAAGCACAGAGAAGTATAACTTTCTAACTCTTAGAAAAAGTATCACTTTCTAACCCTTTAGAAAATGAATCATCACTCTCATCTGTGTTAGTAAATGGTTCATTAACCACACGAGTGTATTCTTCTTCTGAAAAATAGTGCCTTCACTTCAATAGACTGGAGGTGAGGCTTTCCGAAATTAAAAGAGAACCTGAAATGTGTCTGACGGCAATGCAAAACGTAATAGAGCTCGACATAATAACCCTAAAAGACCGTATATGATACAGGAAAAAATAGAATATAAAAAGGAATTGGATATAAGTCAGACATGCGAATATTTATATTAGAATGTGGAGATTTAAAAAGCCCACCTCTATTTACGCTTTCCCTCCCCCCTTCGCTACAGTTGATGAGTAAAATACCAAAGTCAGGCAGAAGATATCAAACTCAAGGTCAGGAACATAAAACTGTGTTCATTTCAAAAGTAATGAACATAGGATGCCATCTAGTGGTCTTCAGAAAAACGTTTCAGCTTAAAGTGCATATACACATCACCCGTCCTCTGAATGCAATCTCTAATGATGCGTGGATGGAATGCTAGCAGTAAGAGACGTTCTTAGGAAATGCGTATATGCGACACCCGTTCTGAAAGGCTTAAATATCCCGCTTTTTGCATTTAAACCATAAAATTCAATTCAACAGCAATATCACAAAATATTATCTTTAGAATTTATGATACACAGTCTCGCATGCTGGAAATAAAAATGTTTTTTCAACCTTGCTGTGTTGACATTGCTCGCTTTGAAATTGTTTGAATTTGTTAATAAAAAAATTCTTTAATGTTTGACAAAATATGACACATATAATAAAACAAAATACAAATTTGGGCTTCCAGATGCCCATATTTGAATTGAGGATTACATTATTCAAAATTTGATGTCTCTAGGTACTGCTGTTTTTTAAAAGTGCGAAAAACATACATTCATGTAAGTTTTTCATTATTTAATTTCTTTAAATATAATACAGGGTTCTAATGTTTGGTGGCGACAACTTAAAAAGTGAACCGGCATTTATAGTGAATCAAAGCAAAATGCCAAAACAAAATTAATAGCCTTTCTGGGCAAATTGCACCTTTGGGCTAAAAAAATATCATAACAAAAGAAAAGTGAAGAATGATCTCTTATCATTAAATAAAAAATTCGTAATATAAAGATGGTACCTACACTGCTAAACAAATGTAAAAAATATTCTCTACTAATCAGCCTCCTTTAGGCCAGTTATCAATGGATCAGATACTGGCCAGAAAATCAAGAAAAGATCAGAGACAGTCGAGGAGACCAGCAGTGGCTTAATGATCCAGATGCATGCCAAAAGCTCAGAAAGGGTTGAAGGATCCATGAATATGCTGAAAGGTATAGGAATAGGTTGGAAAGCTGGAAACAGTTAAAGGATCCAAGAGTAGGTCGGAAGATCAGGAACAGCTGAAGACTACCGTTCCTGTTTTTCCTCCACCATGCTATGGCAGTTAGAAAAATAATAGGAGCTTATTATATGCTAAAGTGCTGTTTATTTCATTCAAAAATTTGCCTATGGTACGCAACAATTAACACGCTGCCTGCCGTGTTAATTGTTCGGATTTTGATCCGAGAAGCCAAATTAATTTAATCATATAATATTATTAAAAATACTAATTATAATTCGTAACAATCATTAAAACATTTACAGGGTTTTTTTTTTTTTCGCAGTAGCCTACTTTGAGTTGATTCATACAGATATGCTTCAAATTGTCGCCTCGGTACAGCTAAAACAAGCGCTAAGCGAGTAAGTGGCGCGAAAGTGGCAAGAAACTTCGAGATAACTCATATTGGTTGTCCTGAAAAACAGCACTAATACGCATTATCTCGTGTTGGGCAGTTATCAATCTATATTAATCAGTTCCAATTTATATACATTTTTGGAATGAAATCTAAAGATTGGGTCTTCATGTTTAAACACATTGGCAGTTAAATATTAAATTTTAAGCTGACATTTATTTGAAATAATTCTAATATGCTTAGTTGTCATTAAATAGCTTACTTTAACCTTTTCCCGTGGGCTCGAAAAACAGTTGTGTACCTTCACTGGGGAGCTCTTGGCTCAGAGGTTATGGAAAGGGGGGAAAATTATCGAATCGAGTCCTTAACGATTGGGTGATTAGTGTTCTTTTGTCGGCAGTCAGGCAAACGCTTTCAGGATTTCCTTTCAATCTAGTTCCAACGCTCAAGGCGTTAGAATGCGGGATGTACTCTAATCGCTTTCACACTGCAGGTAGATGAATACAGTTTCCCCAAGGAAAAAAAGTATTATTTTACCTTCAAATGAAATGTATGCTATAACTAGAAATTTTGTTCTAAAAAGTGTTCCATTTTACGATTAAAATAGTTTTTTAAACTTGCACCTATATTATGTACTAAAAAACTAGCGAAATAATCAGTGTTAAATATATTCATTTGTAATCATATCGAAAATTCAATGATTTAATATATTCAAACATTACCTTCAAGCAATATATGCATTTTCATTTTTAATAGTATTATTATTCTGATGTTGAAGAGCAAATTAAATGGAGTTTATTTATTGCAAGTGCCATTTAAAAAGCATTTTTGGATTCCAAAATAAATGTTAATACTTTTACACCTCTGGTAATATTCATTCCTGGAGAAATAGAACTTGCTTACTGCGTTTGTACTGCACTAAATTATTATTGAACAACGCCAGCACTAAGAAAAATTTACAATGCATGAGCCAAGAATTTTTATTTATTTTTTTTCCATGTGGCATAGAAAATAGCGGTCCCAGAGTTGATCTGCCTTTACATCAGGGATATAAGACGTTTATTTATTTAATCGCTTCATAGTTTTTGGTTCAAGAAAGAAATGCAGGTGCAAACCCTGGAGCTTTAGAAAATAAAATCTTTGTTGAGTTTTAATGTATTCAAAAATTTACTTTTACTATCACTTAGAGATAGATGTAAGATACTGCTTTTACCTTAGAATAGAAAGGGAACAGTTGTTCCATGATTTATATTGCTACTCCATTTTTTCTTTGAATGCAAAATTGCATATACAGGAATGAAAATTGCATACACATTGAAATTTCAAAATGTAAACATCTTTGTCGAATGGCGAAATATTTCTTCAGTTAGTTTTTTATGATCTACATTTTCAGAACGCTAAAATCGCCTTTGAGGTATCAAACTGTTATGCAAAATTTTCAAATCTCAAGCTATTTACTGTTGCTTTCTATGGAAGTAATGAAGCTGGGAATGAAGATTTGTACTGAGTTTATGAAGATTCGCACTGAGGATTAAATTCAGGGAACTAAAAAGTAGTACACATCTGAATTCCTGTATACATGCTTAGTATTCCAATATCTTGTTTGATTCCCTCCAAAACACCATTCTCACGTAAAATTAATTACTTTCTGAACACTACAAAGTTACTGAGATGTTAAGTCCGTTGAATGCTAGTAGTTAGACATAGGTTCGACATCAGTCGATCGAGCATGGTTGGTTTTTGTTGTTTCCCCCATATGAAACGTGAATATGAGCCAATTTCTCCTAAAAGTCTCCACGAAGGCATGCTTTACTTTAGGTAGGTAGCCTTCATATGCTTTCAAATATTCAATTAACCTAAACTAACGTATCTAATTTTTGAACAAATTGATACAGACATGACATTATAGACGCAAATCATATAACAAAGGATAAATTAATAAGTTTTGAAACTTTTTTAAATTTTGAATTTTGTGAGAGAACAAGAAACGTTCATGCAGTCAATCCGTTCATCGGAATTTGAATCGAGGTCAAATTATCAGAGTTAAAGAAATATTATTCGCTCGACCGCTAGTTATCATTTAGAACATAACAAACCAAAATTTCACTCAAGTATGCGGTAGTTGTGGAATACATGTCATTTAGAAATAACATTAAAATTAATTTTCATTACCTGAAACATTTATATTACAAACTGCCTTATACTAAAAATTGGAATGAAATGATAAAAAGACTAATGAAAAGAATGAAACGAAGACAGTTAATTCGAATTGAAACCAAATTAAAAAAAAAATTAATTACAAATAACTGAAAAAATCATGAAAATTTTAAATACATTCAAAGTTTTAAAAAATTTCCGAAGAATTTTAGCAGCCGAGCTTCCGAAAATAACATTTTTTTTTATATTTGACCTCCAAACCGTAT